AATAAAGCTACATAATTAAATATAAATCGGGATATCATATGTTTGAGCACGTTCATGTATATATATGATTTAGTCGATTGTCGAGTAATCATATGCATTTACATCACGTCTTTCAACAGACGATTGGCCTTGTATTTAGACAATCTCTTTGCTGATGTTTATCACGTTTCAGATAAAATCATCATATACTCGCTTAATTTGACAATTACGGATTAGTAAAAAAAGAGGAAAGTCTATTGAATATATGTTAGCAGACTTTAATCCAATCTAGCTAGGAAATCGCTCGCTCTATGTGTACTTTGTGATCATCTGCAACTCAAGTTATTCCAATCTGATCCGATTACTACAGGTAATCAATCATTTTCTTTGTTCTATTAACTGAAGTTCACTCCCTAAATCTTTTGAATATGAAGCCAATGTCATACTAAAAAACAGTGGGTTTTCTATTTGCCTCCTCCAGTAGAATAACGAACAATATATATTCAGAAGACAAATCAATTGACTTTTGCTAGATAAAGACGAGAACGAAATGAGACAAGATCTTATCTGAAAACGGTTACGTGACACTTTAGAAAAAAGCAAAAATAGGGGAAACCTTTTCCCTTTCAAATGGACAAGCAAATAATACAATATATACTTTTGGTATTCCTTTGCATATCCCGTGTGGAAACAGATTATAATTTATATCATACTGATGGTCATGGAAATGGGCTCTTGTACTACGATTGTTTGGATTACCAAGTACATGACTTTATTAAATTCACTGACTTCATTGAATTCATTGATAGAAATTCTGAAGCCGAAATACCTTTTGAACTCGTAGCTTATTGTATTCGTCCTGTTCAGAATCTGATTGCAGAGAGTGACTTGTGGCAAGGTAATTTCACGACGTTTCGATTTGATCAACTGAGTGCAATAAACGTGACGGGAACAGATCTTCTTCGATGGTCGATATCTCTTGATCTGGTCGAGGATTATGAAGAATACCTTCTAACGAAAAAACTTACTGTAGCTGCCTATCGTCTGAATAACTGTTCGGAGAATTTCTTTGGCTTCTTCTGTCAATATCAAATCCCTGCGAATAACAACTTTTCAAACTATGTTCTCGATTTTTTTTTGGAGAAACAAAATCGAGTAATTAATGACAACCTTACTCTGCAATGGTCTAATATGCCTTGTTATCTAGAAATCGACTGTAATCGTTGTCTTGATTGGCGAGAAATCTGTGATGGAAAAATCGATTGTTTGGGCAATGGAATCGATGAAGCGGATTGTCTGGATTTAGAGATGAATCAGTGCGAAGACAATGAATATCGCTGTCACAATGGTTTATGCATTGCTGAGGAATTCCTAAATGATAACCCTATCTATCCAGATTGTTTAGACGGAACAGATGAACGAGGCGAGCGAGGTCTACAAATACGTTTAAGTCCCGGGTTGGATTGTTTTCGAGATCCATCATTTCGATGTGAAGAATCGAATATCCTTGATCGGTCGAAAACGTATCCCTGTGGCGATGGACAAGTCTCTCGTATTTTTACACTATCCTGCAACAATGCTCGTGATCAGCTCTATCTCCAAGAGCTTTTCGCTGTTTCTCAAAATCCACATTTGTCTGAAGCGTGCTGGTTGGCTCTCTATTGTGCGAGAACGTTTGGAAGTCGAAGGACAAATCGATGTACAACCTTCTGTCAAGGATTGTTTTGTCAACACAATTTGAAAGAATCATGTTCGATGCAAATGGCATTTTTTCCCGGCAACATTCTTCTACATGATCATATTCGATTTGCGTATTTCACAAATCAGACCATCATTCGACGTCGTACTGAAGTGCAATCTTTACCCGATTATATCTGTTACTCGCTGGAAAGATGTCCTTTTCTCAAATTCTCATTTCATTACAATGGATCAGTATGTGCATCACTACTAGATTTGTCTGTGAAGAGTCTCTTGGAAATCGATCTACTTTTTCGTACATGCCCATCGAACTCTTCTACGGTAAATCGAACTGATTTGGCTTGGAAAACGCTTTTTCAATGTCCGACGACCGAGAAATTCATTGCCAAATTTCGTTTGATGGATGGCACAATTGATTGTTATGAACATGTCGATGAAAAAAATATCGACACATGTTCGTTGATGCAAAAGGATCGATTCGAATGTTCATCGGAAAAGAAATGTTTATGGCCGATCAATGTCTATGATGGTATATACGATTGTCTTTTGGGCGAAGATGAAAAACTTGTGCCGAAAACCCTTCTCGATTTTGATCGAATGTGTGATGGTCTACGACATCTGTCACCTGACTCCGATCATGGTCAAAATGAAACTGATGAGACGAACTGCGAACAGTGGCCGTGTAATAATCGATATACACGTTGCGATGGCTTTTGGTCTTGTCTAAATGGCGAAGACGAATTAGGCTGTCCATCGAGTTCTCCCTGTTTCAATGGAACATTTCCATGTATGCAAGCTCCCAATTGGAGCTTCACATGTTTATCAAGATCTCGCATCAATGATGGAATCATCGATTGTCTTGGCTCCGCGGATGAACGCTCCTACTGCCGTTCTCACGGAATAATAGCTCACAATTTGTATCGATGCTGGAACGATACGCAATGTGTATGGGTGGGTGATGCATGTAATAGTAAGGCTTGTCCCGATGACATTATCTATAGTCAATGTAACAAGAAAGAATTTATTTATAGTTTCGAAAGTATCTCTAACGATACTGGTCGACTAATGGAAGATCGAAAGAAGTACTTTCATATCATAGAGGATGACATATTTCCAACTTTTCAGAAAAAAAAACACGAACTTTCAGTGAAGAGACTTCATGATCGTTCATTTCGAGTGACTCCGTTGACGAACGAGATGTATTGGTTGTGCAATCGAGGAATCTATATAGCAACAGGCAATGGAAAATACCGATGCTTTTGTCCTCCGAGTTACTACGGCGAACGGTGTCAATATCAAAGTCAACGAATTAGTTTAACATTACAAATTCGAAAAATCTGTGCGCCCTATTGTCACGGAATGTTTCTTTTCTTAGTCACTCTATTGGACAGTGAACAAATAACGCATTCTCAAAACCAGTTTCATTATCTTCCCACAGCTCATTGTCATACCAAATTTAATGTTTATCTTTTGTATCTGGAAAGACGAAAAAATCTACAAAGAACCTATTCAATTCGAATCGACGCGTATAATTTACTAGATATGTCTATTTATTCTAGCTGGATCTTTCCAGTACCATTCATTTTCCTTCCAGTCAATCGAATTTCTCGATTCTTACGACTGCCTTCAACTGCATCCATATCTACATGTTCGAAATCTTGTGGTCATGGTCAATGCTTCATGTACGTCAACAAAGAAGAAGAATTCTGTCATTGTCATTCGGGATGGACAGGTAAAGTGTGTAACATGCCGATTCGATGTGATTGTTCGTCGGATTCACTTTGTGTTGGAATGATTTACAATCAGTCCACTTGTTTATGTCCACTGACCAAATCGGGTCCTCGATGCTTTCTACCTTCTCGTTGTCAAAGGGATCCGTGCGACAAAAAAAATTATTTTTGTTTTCCGTCGATCGACTTTAGGTCTGATCGATGTGTATGTCAAAAAACCTGGTCTGGAACCGAATGCGAAAAGACCGGACAATTGGAAATGGTCTTTTCTCAAGTTCCAACACCTCAAGTTTTTCTAGCTCATCTCATCACTGCTCCTGGTGATGGCGAACCTGAGCGTTTATCCATCGCTGTACGAATGAGATGGGACCGCGATGAAGTTCGCTTTTTCTATCCTTCACTTGATTTCCATTTGCTTTTCATTCAAATTGAAGTGGAATTTTACTTAGTTATCGTAACTCGAAATATCACTCGACAGCCCACACTCAAATTCAAGGTAGATCCGACGCGCCGTTGTCCGAGCGTTGTGCACCTGTTAACCCACGAAATATCGTCCTCGCCTCTTCTTCATCGGATTAAATTCTATCAGCAAGTTTGTCAAAAGTACCGTCATCTCTCCTGCTTTCATGATCGCGAAGGCTTTCTATGTTTATGTGGCGAGGACCGATATGCGAATTGTTTCAATTTTGATTTCAATATGACATATGATTGTGATGGATTGAGTGACTGTAAAAATGGAGCAGAGTGTTTTCATGATAATAAATGTTCCCATTGGATCGCTTGTGTCTGTCCGGAATGTTTTTACGGAAGCAAATGTCAATTTACTACCAAAGCTTTCGGTCTATCTCTTGATACGATTCTCAGCTACAGTATTCGATCCGATCTTTCACTTACGCATCAATCCTTTCTTGTCAAAGTCAGTCTGACGGTCACTGTAGTGATATTTGTCATCGGATTGATCAATAGCATTCTTTCCATTATAACCTTTCGGGTGCAAAGTTTTCAAGAAGTAGGCTGTGGATATTATCTCTTCATTTCTTCGATCATTTCCTTGTTCATCGTAACTATTTTGACATGGAAATATCTGTTCTTTTATTTGTCTCAACGATTCATCGTTACAAACAAGATCTTCCTCACCATTAATTGTCACTCGATTGACTATCTTATTCGATCGTTACTCGCTATAAGTGATTGGCTCAATGCATTAATTGCCATTGAACGCCGGGGGGTCGCTAGCCAAGGGCCAAGTTTTAACAAAAGAAAAAGTCGTCGAATAGCTCGTATTGCTGTTCTTCTTCTCGTTCTTCTGACATTTGCTAGTTATGTCCATGATCCAATCCATCGACAGTTAATCAAAGACGAAGGAGAAGAACGAATCTGGTGTTTGATTCAATATTCGACGTTTTCACTGGATCTTTTCAATTGGATCATCAATGTTTTCCATTCTATTTTGCCGTTTGCGATCAATCTGTTCTCCGTTCTGCTTCTCATTCGTACTGTAACACGGCAACGTGCTTCTGCTCAACAACAACGTCCCTATCGAGAACATCTTCTAGAGCAATGGCGTCATCATAATCATCTTTTGATCAGTCCAATAATTCTTGTTCTCATAGCCATTCCTCGTCTGACGATCTTATTCCTCTCCGGTTGTATGAAATCACCTCGGACGCCTGGACTTTTTCTTACTGGATATTTCATCTCATTCGTTCCATCACTGCTGACCCTAGTTATTTATATATTGCCATCAACAACTTATCGAGACCAATTGCGTCTTTTATTGAAACAATATGTAACCGGTTTACGCCAGTCTCTATGTATGCATAACTGAAACATTTTGCCATTGCTTGTCGTTTTCTGCACTTTTACACTAATTTTCTTGGTCAACTCTTGAGGATGGGTGTTCCTATCTCTGACTCCTATCCACACCCTCAAAATTACATTAGGTAGAAAAAAAATGTTTAATTCAAGTTATTCTTAATAGCTCTTATTGATAATATAAAGAAAAGTTTGATTCTTCAAATAGATGTCAAAGGAAAAGATTCAGTCGCAATTTTGTACTGTAAGATTTAAACTGATCATACCATTTCCATTTTTTATCCAATCAAATGATGTTTGTTCGTTTGTTAATTTGTTTTTTCCATAAATATTAATATTTTTGACAAGTAATGATATATGTAAACGACTATTTTCATCAAATGAAATTGGTATAATCACATCTTCCATGGGTGGATCATAACTGACATCATTTTTTTCGATAGTGAATATCCAATCTGCAGGAAGATTATTTATGCCTGTAGTGGGAAATACTAAGCGAATAAATTCAATATGATTAAATTTATCTGCTATTCTTTCTAACGTATCACTTTGAGGTTCAAGTTTTTCATTGAAAACAAGACGAATAACTTGTTCATTATCGGATTCAGGATGATATTTATAAATGTATTTGTTGGTAACACCACAATGAAAACCTTCCAGTATACCATCGGAGAATTGCCATTGTAAATAAGTATAACAACTAAATAGTACAGATTGAATTTCAGATGCAATATCTTGAACTTCTTGCGTCGTATTTTTCTCTGCAGTCGACATTATTCGTATTGAATATATAAACGAATGACACAAAAATAATTCGTTTTGTTGATTTTTCTAACATTTATTACCTGTGGGACTGTGCTGATAAGCTTTTTTTATCTCCATGTTGCTTTTTTTCTGTTCTTTATGTTATGAGCATACACAAACGTAATAAACACGTGGAAAGTAAAAAAGAAAATATTACTTCGTTTTCATTCTATTTCACTCAATCAATGAATACATATGCACATCCAGCTATTTGAGAGATTTTACAATCGTCAAATAGAAAAGTAAGTCACTGTAATAAATCGTACGTTTGCTTTGTTCTTCTTTTCTTTCTACTAAATATATATGATATCTGTAACGTAAGTAACTCCTCATACAATATTAAAATCAATAAAAGTTACTTTCCGTCTTAATTAGTAGTCTAACGAAAAGGAGGTTCAGTGTCGCCCTTCTACAGAGATTTCTACCTATCATAAGCAGAGCTTTGTTCTTGTCGTTTGTATCAATAGTAAGAAATTCAGATCTTTTTATTCATGTCGGTTTAGCATTTCAAATATGATTCGTTGATTTTTCGATGACTTGAATAAGAGTACAACTCACATACATTTTGTGTTTATGACCTATTTCAGACATAATAATTAAAAGACTATGAAACTTTATTTCTTAGTTTTCAAGAAATTGTAGACAAAAGAATAGCGAGAATAGATTTATCATGTTATTCTTCCCTACATTTAGGAACCGAGTATGCTCTGAAGTGGAACTCAGTCTTTCTCTACGAAGTTTTGAGGAACGATCTTATTCTTACTTACCGTATTGTGAAATAAATTATATGTATTAAAGTAGTGCAATGATCACGCCGGAATTAAAGAGAGTGGGGCGTAAACTAAGTAATTCGTAGTTGAAAGGAACGTTGTCTAAAGCATTGTTCTTATTAATTTTTTTAATTATATTTGATAAATATAAATCGCTTCGGAATGATTTACTTTTCTACATAGATTACAATGATTAAGTTTGCTTCAATTTCATGCTTCATTATGTTAGTATATACTTTTCAAATAACCTTTACTAGAGCAAGTTATCGTGCTAATTATAAATGTACACGAGTAAACAATGATGATTTACGAGAATGTCTTTCATCGTCATTACCATTATCAATACGAGCTGTTTATCCATGTAACACATTAACAAATCAAAATAGTTTCCAATATCAATGTGATCACTTCAATGTAAGTAGGCTGTCGAGCAATCGTGGAGGTCGAATCTCTCATTCACCTGCTGTTGTTGTTGATGTAACTGATAGTAGTGATATTCAAAATGTGGTTAAATGTGCAACAAAATTGAATTATATTGTGAATGCATTGAGTGGAGGTCATAGTTATGAAGGTTATGGTTTAGGCTCAATGTACAACAATATTATTATTAACATGGAAGCAATTAATTATATCAATATTAATCAACATGATAGAACTGGTACATTTGGAGCTGGTACTAGACTTGGTCCAATCTATTATAGAATATATCAATATGATAACTATACAATCAATGCTGGATCTTGTGCATGGGTAGGATTGGCTGGTATTGCACTAGGTAGTGGTTACGATTTTCTCGCTCGTTTACATGGATTACTGTCTGATAATATTTTGGAAATGAAAGCTGTTAATGCTCAAGGTTAATATAACTTATTTTTCTAAGTTGATATTATCTTTGTTACTTTCATTGATAAATGTATACGATATTATTTTGTTTAGGTGAATTATTGACCATAAATCAAACTCATGAACCCGAATTATACTGGGCGTTACGTGGTTCTGGTGGAGGTTTATTTGTTATTGTAACAGAATTTAAACTTCGTTTAGTTAAATCTCCATCACTTGTCAGGAGTTTTTCATTTTTTTGGTATGCGAATGTGACAAAACTAGTAATGCAACGATATCAATCATTGCTATTTGATGATAAAATATTCAATTTAAGTAATAATATATTTTGGCAAATGGGTGTGAACAGTATTCAAATAGAAATTTCAATAACTTATTTTGGCATCGAGTTAGAAGAGTTTAATAGAATTATATCGTTATTGTTAACAACGTTACCAACTCCATACAAAACTGAAGTACACCAAAGAGATTGGTTGACTTTTGTTTATTTAAATTCAGACATTGGAGATCTTAATGGTGATCATCGACAATTATTACTTGATAATTTAACATATCCAGCACATTATTCCAAGGCCAAACATTTATTTTATGATCAACCAATAAGTAATCATAGTCTTGATCGATTGATCGATCGATTAGCACTAGGTAATGGTCAAATTTCTCTGTTATTTAGTCCTTGGGATGGATATTTAAGAACAATTCCAGTTCATGCAACAGGATTTCCACATAGACATTTTAAATTTGGTATTCAATTTATGGTTTCTTGGAATGATACACAACATGAAGAACAACACATGAGTTGGTGAAATCAAATATATTTAACTATCTACAATGATTCAACAAAACATTCATATATTAATTATATCGATAGAGATGTGCCAGATTGGATGAATGTTTATTATCACACACATGTGCAACAATTAATTAATATTAAACATAGTTATGATAAAAATAATCGATTTTATTTTGAAAAAACAATAGAATCAATCGGAATAAATTTGCATCCATTTCTCAGTGTTCATTTCGCAAGTCTTATAATATTTGTATTTTTCGTTTTATAAAAAAACACGTATCATATTAGAGAAAACATTTCTTTGCAATAGGTGATCATTGATATATCGATTCTTTTGGTTATAAACCCACAGCCACATTGTAGTTGCTCGTCGCACAATCACGAACCTGTTGAGAGTGTGGGTGTGCGTAACTAAAAGATGAATCCACATACACGCACACCCACACCGTGATGTTTTCAAAACATTGAACAATAATTTCTACTTTAATGAGACAAAAAAAAGTAGTGACAGCGGTGAGATTCGAACTCACGCCCTTTCGGA